GTTTTGCACTGGTGACTCTCAGTTTTGCACTGGTGACTCTCAGTTTTGCGCTGCTGACTCTCAGTTTTGCACTGCTGACTCTGTGTTTTGCACTGCTACCAATTGTATTTTGTCCTTTTGGCGTTCCATATTCCTTTCGTATATTATTAAGGCCCGTATATACTAGTGTTGAATGTTATATGAATACATAGATTCCTGTTTTTCCTAATTTTAAAAGGTTATAGTTAGTCAATTAAAAATTATATAGCCGTTATTCAACAATAATTATACAGCTTTTGACACGGATTGGTCTGTCTATTTCGACTTATGTGATATCACAAGTTTACGAACTCCGATGTTACTTGACGCAAACTCGTCATGACATCACGCAGGGCGGATCCAGTGGGGGGGGGGGGCACGGGGGCCCGTGCACCCGCCCCCATCAGTCCCGCCGAAAAATACAGTATAAAAGATGGAGAAAAAAAATTGAGAAGAGTTAAAGGGAGGAAAAGCTTTGTTTATACATAACAGCATAATGTGTTTTTGACATTGACTGTAGGACATATATCATAATAATCCAGCGGGAATGGGGTGCCCAGCCGGCCAGGACCCCCTACATTGGTCAATTTTTTTTTTAAATGGAGATAAAATATTTAAATTTTAAGTCTGAATGAGTTTCCTTTCCGGGCATCTAGAGGTGCCATAGGCCTAATCATCATAATTTGCTTTGCGACTCCCAGTATAAAATAGACTATAGATCCTTAATTATACATTTTGAGGGAAGGGGTGTCTAACGGAGAGGGAGCAGATGTCCAGTCGGGAAAAGTATAATTTTGTCGAAGAGACTGCTTTGAAAAAGCTTTTTTACCATCTGAGAGTGCCATTTCCGAGCGTCTAGAAGGGCATATTCTTAAAATGTCCTCACCTCTGCCCCAACCATGGTGGGGCTGAGGTGGGTGTCTTCGACATATTTCTTCTTACCTCTCTGGATCCGCCCTTGTCATGATAATGATAAATTAAGTAAATCATTTCTTATGTTTGTGAAATAAAAATGCTAACTAATGCTGTGTTTGCTTCCTATCTCCTTTTTTCCTGTGTGATCGTAAGTTAGACGGTAGGCCTAGTATTTCCACTCACAATAGTGTAGTCGCAATACTACTAGTACAAAAGTGAAATTCAAAAAAAAGGAGAAAAGATAAAAACATCCTGATTGAATTTAAAAGTACTGTACATGCAAAGATAGAATTGGGGTAACTGTTTTAAGTTATCCATGAAGGAACATGGTTTATCATTTGTTTTCATGGTTCGAATATGTCACAAGCTAATAGGTAGATAATAAATCATTAGTTTTATGAATGCTAGTTTCCACGAAATATGTAAGCGGGCATGATTATGATTACCAGGATAAATTGAAAAAAAAAATGTTATGATGAGTATTTCAGTGGCAGATTCAAGGGGACCTAAAAAAATTTAAAAGTGGAGAAAAAAGAAAATTATATTCAAATTTAGGTCTGAGAGTGCCATTTTCGGCCAACTAGAGGTGCCATAATCATAGCTTTTCTCATCTCAGCCCCAACTATGGTGAGGATGAGGTGGTCTACACTCCATTCTGTAAAAGTCTCTCCCTGGGCCCCTCTATTTGGAATTCCTGCATCCACCACTGTATTTTGAAAATGTAGTGTGGAAATAAATTTTAATTGCATTAAATTAAATTTAATTAGATACGGCTTATAAAAGGCTATACACGTCAGAGTTTGGGGGGAGTTCGCCCCCTGGTCCCCCACCGGTGCCCTGGGCGGCCCCTTGGTCCCTGCCAAGGCTTAGACCTACGGCCCAAGAGTTCCTTATTTTGCAATTCGTCCCCCATCTCACTTTTCACAACGGATCGACGCCCAATACAAAGCTGAGTGAATTGAGTATATTTCTTAACGGGGCAGGGCGGCGCCAGGATTTGCCAGACGGGGGTACGATGCCCCATGACGGGGTGGCACGAAAGCGTACGTGGCCTAAGCGGGGCGTAGTCGGGCGTGTTTAGGATACAGGTATCTCACAAACGTAGGTATTTTTAAACTTATATAACTTTATAACGTAACGTATTATCGTAATTAGAAATGCTACAATAAAACTAAACTATAAGTATACTCCATTTAATGTAAGTACATTATTGTATAATAAAATATAATACGTATTTTATGCTGTAATATAACAAAACATTGTATCGTAACTAAATAAACATTCGTGTCCATTCGATTCACGTATTTATATAAACCTACTTCATTAACTTCTTATATAGGAACGCAATGAACAAGAAAAAAAGGAAACACAAGATAAATAAATTAATTGACTTGTATAACTACGGTACATTTTATGTAGACGCAAAATATGTATACGTTTAGGATTAAAAAGCAACAAAAAAGAGAATATCCATATGTTCAACATTTATTTTATCTGCTGTTAAATATGTTGTTAGTAGAAAGATAACAAAACGAAAATAAAAACCGTCCATAAAATCGCTGAAAATATGATATATTTTGTTTCTATAAGGATGTTGTTAATAAAAACACAAATGTGATAAAAAACAATTTGATTTTTATAAATGCTGTTTTGAAAACACAACAAAAAAAAATGTAAAAAAAAAATGAAAAAAGATTGGCGATAAGAACCGATTGGGAAGAACCGATTGGTGACGAACAGATTGACGAATAATATTAGCATATAATTCATAAATTGATTGAGTGATCTATATTTCATGTAGAAGCAAAATATGAAAACGCAAAAAAAACCATTAATTTATTTTTATTATTAATTAAGTAATTTATATTTCATGTAGAAGCAAATTAAGTGCACATAGAAAAATTGTTAGAGTATCACTCCCACCCGCTTCAAATATTTAGGAAATATTGATGCCAGAATAAAAAAAAAATGTTTGCCGCATCATTTTTTCAACAGTTTAAAAAAACAATTTCGTGACTCGAAATACATTTTCTTTATAACAATAAAAATACAATAGTTTTTATACAATATTTACAATATTCTTCCTAAATAAAAAGAGTCCCTACCTCATCAATAAAAAAAAAGCAATATTCTATTGTTTCGATTTAATTTTTTTGAGTGATAATCTAATGATTTGTTCTATATGCACTAATATGAAAACGCAACAAATAGAAGAGCATACATACCAAATTTCATTTATTTTGATTATGATATTGATCGAAAGTTTGTTGAAGTGTTCATTTTATTTACTTTTAAATGT